AGAAAAGCAAAATGAAAATTGAGAACAACATATATTTTTCAAAATACCGTATCTGTACATTTATAGATATAAATATATAATTATTGTAAAAATCGAAAATTGAATATGTGAATCTCTCATTTATTAAAAAATATTTTACATTTAATATAGTAATACATGATAATTAAATTTGTCACGTATTACATATAAAATACAATTTTTAAAAAATTAATCATATAGTACATACTTAAATATAAATTTTATTAATATTTAAAAAATTTAAATCAATAATGATTGCATATATTAAAAATTATTTATATTTAAAAATTATATAATAGATATTTTGTAGTCAAATAAAAATAAAAATTTATTTTTCTATTTAAAAAATTTAAAAATATTATTATATATATCATCACATTGATCTCATGTTTGTATTTAAAAATTTGAGTAGATAATAATGTCAACAAAATTTTATCTTTGTATAATATATAAAATTATGATTGATATTAACACTATCTTTATTTTCTTTTTCAAAAGTACAAGAAACATATCATGAAACGTTTTTAAATATTACATATATATATATAGATTATCTATTTAAATTTTTTAAATATAAAAATATTTTTTAGATATCTCAAAATAAAATTAATATGACAAAATATATAATAATTATTTATCTATTTAATATAATAATATATAATAATTATATAGCTAAATATAAAAATAAACTATAAATAGTTTATTTAAATATTTTTTAAAAATACTAAAATTTTATATAAAAAAATATATAAATAGTTTAAAGGTTATTAAAATCTTCATAGCTGATTTTAAATTTTAAGAATCTGCACTATATATAAACTCTTCATCATATATTTTTTCTTTAAATTTTATTTGTCTTATAAATTTGTTATCAAACATTAAAAAAAGTATGAGAATTATTTTATATTTTTATTAAAAAAAATTATTTATCGCATAAAGTAATATTTTTATATTATTTTTTTAATTATAAAAATTATATTATGTGGATTGTATAAGGAAGAACCTAATTTCATTAACTAAGTGATCCATATGACACACAAAAATGCAATACTAATTTTGTAAATAAACATTAATCAAACTCAAGATCAAACACATGAAATGAAACAATAATATACTCTAGTTCGTGGGATAAAACTTTTAACTACAGTTGATATCAATAACTTCGAGTATAATTAGATTAACTAATGCTTATGTCATGAGTAGCTAAAAATATTGATGTCAGCATGAATAGTTTGGATTTTTCAAGTAACCAACCAAGTCAAAGAAAGAATAGACCAATAAAGAGTCCAAAATTCCAAAAAAACTTGAGAGTAACACATGGAAAAATCTCCCTTGCCGGTGAGAGATTTTTTCTACTCAAGAGAGATTTTTTCTCAATAAGAAAATTTTTATTTTTTTCTCCATATCCTTTTCAAATAGTTAAAAAAAAATTAAGATAAAGGAATTTCAAAAATCTATTCAGGGATAATCAAGATGGTATCTTTACAAGTTTACTAACCAAGTTCATATAAATAAATTAATATTATAAATATTTATTTATTATAAAATATTAACTTTCCTAAAAAATCAATAAATCTTCTTTAAACTAAGAGATATTCAAAAGATTTAAATTAAGAAATCTTCAAAAGATCTTCTCACTATTTAAGAATTTCTCAAATGAATGACATATTTATACTATTTTGATTGTAATTTTTCTAATTACAATTTTATTCCTATTTTAGTTTTGATTTAATTTCTTATATAATTTAATACAATTAATTTAAGAGATTTATTTTCTTATATTTCACATGGTCTACAAGTATAAATAAACTTTTAATTTATAATTCTACTCATTTAAGTTTAAAGTAAATAAAGTTTAAAACTTTTTAACTTTTCAACTAACAAGATTTTCTTCAACTTTCTTGTTGAATAAGGAATTGGTATTTATTTATCAAAATAACTTGTGACAGTAATGTTTTCATCAATCTCTTTTCTTAAATTAATTTTAACTTATTAAAATTTTTCTTGTAACATTCTAATTAATTCATTAATAATTTATTATCTTAATTCTAATCACAAGTTGATTGTACGTTATGTATATAGAGTTTATTCCATGTAACACCTTGTTTTTTTTTTTAAGGGCATAGTCTAAGACAATTCCGCAACCACACACGAAAACGTCATTCCAAATCCACCACAAACATAAAAACCTTACCGCAAATTTATTACTCAAAATCACAATAAACCTGCAACCCTACATGAAATATCACAGTGAAGAATAATTTCACCAACTCCCAACAGACCCACTATCTACACTACTACTAGTTATTACACACTCATTCATGCCAAATAATGAAAATATTATTGCCATATTCCTCTATCTGCTAGGCTCGTAAATCAGCAACTCCGATCCCGACTTCATCCCTACTCCATCTGTAAATGATACGGAGTGAGTATATACAACTCAGTACAGTAAAAATTAAGTTACAGACATCATATACAACAATAGGGAACTTAGAGGTCCTATATGTACTCCACCTACTTAACCTAATACCTACCCTTGGTAATTTTAAAAAATAATGCATGTTAATTGTGACCGCCCCTCGACATCCTCTAACCGTACAAATACTCTCACTCGTCACCAGTATCGACGATCACCAATAAATCGTCTATCTCTCGACCCCTAATAAGGCACACACACATATAGATACCATTCTCACCCGTCACCAGTGTCAGCACTCACCAATAAATCCGCCTATCTCTCGACCCCTAATAGGGCACACACACACATACACACACACACACACAAATACCATTCCCACTCGTCACCAGTATCGGCGACTACCAATAAACCGCCTATCTCTCGACCTCTAATAGGCCACACACACATGCAGATACCATTCCCACCCGTCACCAGTATCGGCGACCGCCAATAAATCGCTTATCTCTCGACCCCTAATAGGCCACACACACACACAGATACTATTCCCACCCGTCACAAGTATCGGCGACCGCCAACAAACCGCCTATCCCTCGACCCCTAATAGGCCACGCACACACCCATATACCATTCTTTCCTGTCACCAATATCGGCGACCAAACCCCTTCCCGTCGAAGTCCCCCGACCATCACCAATATCAGCGATCAACTTACTTTTTCTAAGTAGCGACAACCAATATCGGCGTCCCCCAATGCTACCAACTCAACACAATATCATCCTGTCCGTGCAAAAGGCACACACTAACACTTCACACACTCACACCTGTAACGTTCCCTTGCCAACTGTCACATTTACAGCAGCTATACCAACCTATATACAGCCCATATTCTCACACCACACAGCTACACCACTCATCCCCTCTCCCTACACAGAGAACCCCCACATCTCTATTCTGACACTTCATTCCCACGGTCTACGACCTCTCATTCCTCTTCCCAAATTTTTTACATCCACACACACTACTTCCTCCCTTACACATATCCACCTCACTCACCAAATCCCTTATTCTCTCCCCCTCTGCGACCTACTTTAGATACTCCACTCTCAAATCCTGAAACCACCTCTATCACCTCCCGTGGTCCCCTCCGCAAACCTCCATTCGTACTCACACCACATCCCCTTCCTCTCACAAACCTCACTCACACACCACACATCTCCCTTTCTCTCCTCCCGCGGCCCCCCCTCGATAAGCCTCCATTCGCACTCACCAACTCCTCTCCCTCACAGCCCGCACTCACACATACCGCACTCATTCCTTTCTCTCCTCTCGTGACCCAGCCTCCTCCATACGCCCCCGCTCTCACACCACATCAGCTCTCCCTCACAAACCACACTCACACACGTCGCACACCTTCCTTCCTCTCCTCCCGCGACCTAATCTCTTCTATGCGTCCCCGCTCACACACGACCTCACCTCTCCCTCACAGGCCTCTCTCCCATGCCACACTTCTTCTTCTTTCTCCTTCCACGGTCTCCTTCGCACACCTCCACTCACACTCATACCAACTCCTCCACCTACGACAAGTTTTCGAATCCACATCAACTAAAAGGAAACTTAAAATCACCGTACCTCCCATTTCCATCTTCCTTCCTCCCGCTGATCGCACCGTCGCCGTCCTCTTTCTTCTTCTCTCTCCCTTCTTGTTCCTCTCCGCTTCGTCTCCTCTCTCTCTCTTTCTTGAACCTTTTTTCCCTCCCTACTCTCTCTCTTCTCTGCTTTTTCTTTTCTTTTTCTTTTTCCTCCCCGTTCTCTCCCTTCTCGTTCCTCTCCGCTTCGGTTCCTCTCTCTCTCTCTTTCTCGAACCTTCTTTTCCCTCCCCACTCTCTCTCTTCTCTGCTTTCTCTTTTCTTTTTCTTTTTTGTCCCCGTTCTCTCCCTTCTCTGTTTTCTCTTTTTTCTTTCTTTCTTTCCTTTCCCTCCCTTTTTCTCTTTTTCCTTTTTTTTTTCTTTCCTTCCCGTCTCTTCCTTTTTTTTTTCTTTCCTTCCCGTCTCTTATTTATACCCCACCTGTATCCCATCCTGTCCGTCCATCCTGCCTCATCCCAACCGTTCACTCCCTCTCCTCCAAACAGCATCGTTTGCTCCTCCTCATTATCACCAAACGACACCATTTCTTTCAAACGACGTCGTTTTCTCTTCCTCTTCTCCCAAACGACGCCATTTGCCCCTCCCCTTCTCCAAACGACACCGTTTCACTCCAACCCTCTCCACATACCCATATATACATACACGCCAGGATCTTCTCTCCCCCCTTTTTTTTTTGTTTTTTTTTTCTTCCAGTTATCACATTCCAGAATTAAGTTTTTGGCATTAATTGAAATTGTATAAATTTTTAATTACATTGTTGATCCTAAGTCTCCGCATTAAATATTATGATAATGATTTTTAGTAAAATCATCATTTAAAATTTAATGTGAATATAGCATAGTGGTTGATAAATTTTGATTTTAAAAGTGTTATCAATTAAAAACGTATTATTATAATTAATCAATCATATTATAAAGTTAAAAATAAATGTTAATAAGCATCCTGTTTCCTGTAGTACTAAATGAATGATACTTATTTTTACTGTTGGTAAGCATTGAATAAGCATTCCAAAACACTGCACTCGAGCAGCTTGAAGGAATGGGAAGAAGAAACAAAACCCAGCTGCCCTTCCTAAAATAGACGCGTAAAGGTGTCAAATAGAAAGAATACACGTAAAGATTCAAAAACGGTAATGAGCAATCACAAGGATCTACTTCGCAAACGACATGTATTGTGCGTTCAAATGCTGCATTGGAATTCAAATTGGAGGGTTTAATGCTACACTAAAATCTTAAATCTGACATAGACCAGCCTCCCTTCCACTGACCTCAGTACTCTAATGGACACCTGTATCCAATTTTTAGAATGGCACATAATGTAAATGCCAAAGAAAGTAATTGGAAGAAGGCAATTGAAACGACCAAAGATCAATGCTGCAGGTAACTCACTGAATAGCCCCACAGTCTCTGCCTAAATGAAGACTAAGAAACAGACTGATACCACCACATGATGGAAAAGATAGCATCTAGGGAATTAGACCAACAAAACAGAAAAGAGAGCCAAAATCGTATCTATCTTTCTTCAGTTATTCATACATCAGGTTCTTATAAGGAGGCTCCCTCAGGTCACTGCATTATAGGTTAAAAGATTAAGGTGTTAACAAAAACTGAAATTCAAAACATTAAGCAAAATCCGTGATAAATATCGGACACATGAAGTACCAACCTCTGCATCTTTATCAGAATTTTCAAGATTGGGATCATCTGCAGTGATTTAAAAAAAAAAAAGTTAAGTCACTTCCACCTGCAATGTCCTTTTTTTGCCAGATGCAATCAAAATCCAACTAAACACGTGCAACCCCTTGCTAGATACTTCTTAGCAAAACGCTTAAAATTCAGAGAAAAAGAATAAAGGTTAAACAAAAATGAGATTCTGATTTCTGATACTTCTCGTGCTTAAGCTGACCAAGATGTGCCATGATCAGAGTTATCACAAATGGTAGTGCACTGTGCTAGCCTAGAGTCTCTTTGAATTACCTCCATCCTCTGGGATGTCAGCATTCCACAAGGTGAGATTGTCCCTTAATAGCTGCATAATCAAAGTGCTGTCCTTGTATGATTCTTCGCTCAAGGAATCCAGCTCCGAAACAGCTTCATCAAAAGCTTGCTTTGCCAGGTGGCAGGCTCTATGTTATAAATTGCTGTAAGATACAATATTTCATATTGCAAAGAATTTTCACTCAAATAGTAGCTATTTCTGCCTACCGCTCAGGAGAGTTCATGATCTCATAGTAGAAGACAGAGAAATTAAGAGCCAAACCCAGCCGGATAGGATGAGTAGGAGGTAAATCTTTCTCGGCCATTGTAGAAGCTGTCTGCAGATCGATCCATAACCCAAAAGTTAGTACACAGCATTTGAAATATAACCATCTAGCCATTTTCAGGAAATTAAAAAATAAACTATTGAGAAAAGATGCATTCCTATACAACGATGTCCCACACAAAGGTCCATAAAAGGCACACTTGAGCATTGACTAGGGAGTTAAAACACTTAGACAGGAGACACAGGAGTAGGAAGGGAAATGACTGCCAATTCAGGAGAAAAAACATAACTTAGAATGCAAACAGTTTCCTCAAATGATGTCATCCAAATTGATTCGTAGTTCCAAAAATATCTATAAAAAATATATTGCATATCTTAAAACCAACTCATAGAATTCATGCCTCAGTGCCCTTCACAATTAAATTTGAAACAGCCATCAATAATAGCCAGAAGAAGAATCTCAATATCTTTTTTGATACAAAAGAGAATAAGGAATCTATGGAAGCTAGATATTTCAAATAGCATGGTGCCTTAAAATTTCAGAATTCAGATATCACCACATAATGAAGGAGTGAAAGACCTCATCTCACAAATCAAAGTCCTTTGAATTCTGAAATTGAGATCCATACTGATAAACTACTCAACAAAGAACACCGTTACAACAAAAGACTGAGTTCTTAGTTACTTCTCCAACTGCATGCGTGGGGATAACAAGCACCAAAGAAAGGCCATATTCACTGCAAATAACCTTTCAGTAATGACCATTAAAAAACACTAAGGAGAATAATTTCCTAATTTCCATATCAACAGAAGCGATGTATGAAAAATTAAGATTAATTTGCCTATTTACAAATTTTAAAAATTAAGATTAATTTGCCTACTTACAAATTTTGAGTATATTTAGGGATTTATAGATATCACACCCAAGAATTGGCATAGGAAACAGAAAAATAATGAGTCACACCTAGAATCCCTTGAGCAACATATTTAAGGTATTTATAGTATAAAAGGTGTATCTAAGGTTTTTGTAGTGCTTAAATATAAAATCCAATCCGACTACAGAACTCCAATATACAACTTAAAAATAAAAAGAATGTAAACCATGACCTATATCCTAAAGTTAAGGACAATACTGTCCATACTCCTACAATAAACAACAAACTAGATAGAAATATGATTCACAATCTATTTACAAATTCTAAGTCTAATCCATTTTGTGTCAATATATTTAGAAATTTGAATTAAGTAGATGATTCTCAGTCAACCAATGAAACTATCAATTGTCTCAGATGCAGGCTTAACGTAGCAACAGCCACATATCTCTCAACTTGGACATTGACATAAGTTCAAATCACCACTCGCCCACATTACATCCTATCAGAATATAGCTGCTAGCTACACGAAGATACTAATAGTCCCATCAATGAAACACAGTAACTGAATCAACATTCACAAGAACCATAGCACAAATCAAACCATCAAATGATATATAGTTGGCAGTTTGATTTCAAAATGATCACGCTGATGACATGAAAGTAGTATATACCTGATATGCTTTTAGAGACTGATCAGCAACCTCTTTCTTCTCATCACCAGCCTTAAATTCTGCCAAATACCGGTAATAATCTCCTTTCCTAGAAACAATAACCTCATTATAAAACCTTGAAACCATCAACCAAAATAATATTGCACCACAATCAAGAAACTGAAACACAAAGAAAATGAAGGAAAGAAAGAGCAAAAGATAATATGATCCACAAACATTTTATAGTAGAAAACAGTTGACTCTCCGGCCGTGGAAGATGGTATTAGATGCTCATCAATTGCTACTATAACATCACTGCAAATTTTTGATAGTTCTGACTCCACCTTCTCCCTGTATTCCTGGATTCGTTGGCCATTTGCTTCATTTCCTTTTAAATCCTCTTTCTGCTCAATTGACGACAAGATCCTCCACGATGCTCTCCTTGAACCAATCACATTCTTGTACGCAACAGACAACAAATTCCTTTCCTCAACAGTCAATTCAACATTAAGTTTCGCAAGTTTCTTCATACAATCCACCATATCTGTGCACCATTCAATCAGCATTACAAAGACCACGAACCAAGAGTATCATATCAACAAAACACTAGTCACAATTAAATAATCACGACAAAGTAAACCGAATCCCTCCGTCTCACACACCGTAGAAAGAAGCACAACTTTGATATGAAAAATGAGGATGCTGTTCGTTTCTTGATATTTTCTCAAGATTAAAATGACTAAACAGTTCAACTCATAACGGACAAAAGATTCATTGCATGAACATCACGATACCAATAAGCTGAAATGGAGATCAAATTTTTCCTTGTTAAGAAAAACAAGATTCGAAAAAGGACTGAGAATAACAAATCAGAGAGAAAAAAAAATGTTCAAGGAATAATATCGTCACCGCTTGGACTAAACTAAATCGCAACAAGATTTATGAAATGAAGCCTTGGAAAGTGAAAATGAGCGTCAAAATCACAGATCTAGAGAGAGAAAGCGTGGCATTATACATGAGCAAATAGGTGTGTGTATAACACACATAAACACACACACAGACAGGAACCTACCGTCATAACGTTCGGCTTGCTCGGCAAGCTTGGCAATGTATGCTAAATTCTCACGATCCTTAGAGGAAGCCATGATCAATCTTGCTCGCCAAAGAATCTTGCAACCTTCAGAGTCTGCACTTCCTAACTTCTCTTGATTCGTGCAGTTGTACTTTCCCTCTGCTCTATTTGAAAGCTTTATGTGTGGGATGAGAGAGAAACCTTTCTTCTGTAGTTGGTTATTTATAGGTGACCTGCATTTACCGGTGCCGGTAGAAGGCGAGGGTTTTTTATGGGCAGTTAGTAGAGAGCATGGTCCAATCAGGAACTGTCACCTGGCCAGCGCCTTGGCCTCTTAAGAATGTTGTGACCGCCTGACAATTACAGTACTCTTGCTTCTTTTCTTCTAATTAATTAATTAGTTTTTAGCTCTAAGAAGGATTTTGCACTACTCTGTAGAAATGTAAGCAATATTTAATTAGTCACATAAAAAATTATTGATAATCAGTTAACTGATAAATAATTAGACAAACTTGTTAATTAATTAGACTTAATCTACATTTAAAAGATAAAAGATATTGAACTAAATAAAATATTGGACCAAATAATTTTACTATGTTTTGGCCACTTAACCAAAAAATCAAAATTGTAAAGAAATTTTTATATTTGAATTCAACTAATTTCATGAACTTATGAATTTTCTAGTAACTTATAAGTTGTCTAGAATTTTTCTATTGAAAACGGTTGAATTGTTGGACTAACTCAAATTTATAAATACTCTGGGATATTTAGTTCAATTGAAAAATAAAGATAAAATAAATAAATACTATAATTTAATTCATAAATATAATAAATAAATATAGATACTAAAATATATTATGTTACTCTCCGATCTACTGCATAGTACTTAAAAAAAGAAACATCATTTCCTCCACATAACTTATCATACATATACAAAATACATGGCATATAATTCACTAGCATGGTTTAAATCAAAGATATCAGTGCTAGCGACGACTTGGTTTTATAAAGCACATGGTGTACCAATTGCTTAAAAACTCATTTGTGCAAATACCATGGTTTTGAAAAGGATAAATTTAGCTGCTAATTAAAAATAAAAATTGTTGCATTTTCAACTGAGATAACCTAGATTGTTAAGGTGTTAACCATTCAGGTACCACAAACTTTCTGATCTTTAGTGAACATGCGGAGTAATCAATTGAGATGAGAGGAAAGAATAACTGCACTAGATCTCCATCGAATACACTGTCTTTCTGTCAAAGATCGAAAACTTCAAACAGAGGAGACTTCTCTCGAATATTTGCGTGTTCACTAGTCTTGAAAAGGGAAACTCACTGGTGTAAATTGGGTTCATAGTAATAGTCAGGTCAAACCTTCCGGTCCAAGAGTAGGTTAGCATCACCTACCTTTTTGTTTCCTTTTCTCATTAAACTTCTGTTTATGGAATACATTAAACTCCCAACAGTCGTCACAGTACAGAAATGGAGACTTTTGATTTTGAGTAGATGATTCTGTTGATTATATCATTTGGGTATTCTTTTGAGCAGTTGATACTTGCCAAAGACATTTTTTGCCTGCCACTTGTGAGGGATGAAAAATGACCTATATAGGGCAGGTGAAAGTTCTCTATCCAAGAAAGGCAGTACTGCAAGAGGCTGAAGTAGATATTGATTTTAGTATACAATCATGCAAGGAAAGTGAAGAGAAACTGCTAGATTCAGAGATTTTACCTCCCACTTTGACAAGTCACTCCCCGATAAGG